TGAGCGAATGCGTAGGAGAGCAGCCACAGCAGCCCAGGGCACAGCAGGAGGACAGCAAGCCAGACGGCAAAGCTGGCCAGGATGAGCCTCCGCAACTGGGCCCCCCAGCGCGCTGCCCTCTTCGAAGCCGCCTGCCTTGTGGCGCTCTTCTGCCTGTGGGGGCAGGTGCTTAGTTAGGTTCTCCCCTACTTCTGCCCGCCAAGTACCCAGTGCCCCACTCCACTCCCCCATACGTCACAGCTTGAAACCTCACATCCACTTCGCCTTCCTTTCTGGTTTCTTAGGCCTCATCTGCAAAATAATGAACCCATTTTTACCCTACTTTTCAGAGTGGCCACAGTTAGCTCACAAGATGACACATAAGGAGCCAAGTGTGGTGGTGCATGGCTGTGATCCCAGCATATGGGAGGCTGAGGCAGGAAGATCGCCACAAGTTCAAGGCCAGCCTGGGCTCCATAGTGAGTCAAGGCAAGTCTAGACTACATAGCAAGACCTTGTCTCAAAACAGACTGTACCTTAAAAAAGTACTTTATAAGCCGGGTGTGGTGGCGCATGCCTATAATCTCAGCATTCAGGCTGAGGCAGGAGGACTGCCTGAGTTCAAGGCCAGTCTTGGGCTACAAAGTCAGTTCAAGGCCAGCCTGAACTACATAGCAAGACCGTCTCCAAAGACAAAAACAAAAAAGAAAGTGCACTATAATCTTACCCCCCCCCCCTTTTTAGTTTAACAGGGTCTCACTATGTAACTCAGGCTGGCCTCCTCCTGCCTCAGCCTCCCAAGTGTTGGGATCACAGGTGCATGCCACTACACCTGGCTTATTCCCTTCCCCATTACCCATTCCAGTCACTCAGGTGTTTTGTTTTTTTTTTTTAAAAAAAAACGGTCTCACTGTGTTGTTTAGGCTGGACTTGATCTCCTGGTGATCTTCCTGCTTCAGACTCCCAAGTGCTGGGACTATAGGTGGGCGCCACCATACCTAGCAGAATTTGGAACTTTTTTTTTTTTGGTACGGGGGATCGAACTTGGGACCTTATGCTTGTGAGGCAGGCGGCGGAACCACTGAGCTAAATCCCTGGCCCATGGAACTGATTTTTGATTCATGTCCAGTCAGACCCTATGTTCATAGCTCAATGGGGATCACTTTCTCACCATCAGGGATCCTTTTTATGATTTTTCCCTAATGAAAGCCAGAGATATTTTTGTTTTTGAGACAGGGTCTCACTATGCAGTTCAGGCTGGCTTCAAACTTGGCAATCCTCCTGCCTCAGCCTGCCAGAGTGCTGGGATTAAAGGTATGCACCATCCCCAGTTTAAAAGCCAGAAATTGGGCCAGAGATTTAGCTCAGTGGTTTCGCCACCCTGCCTCACAAGCGCAAGGTCCCGAGTTCAATCCCTGGTACCAAAAAAGAAAAGAAAGAAAAAAAAAAGCCAGAAATTCTTACGGTGATAGAGATAGTTTGTGAGTTACTCTTTTTTTTTCTGGTGGGACTGGGGGACAGAATCCAGGGCCTCACAAGTGTTAGGCCAGCTTACTCTGCCACTGAGCTACACCACATCCTGAGTTTTGTTAAAAACACATCTAGGGGGCCAGGGATTTAGCACAGTGGTTTCACCGCCTGCTGCGTAAGCATAAGGACCCGAGTTCAATCCCTGGTACCAAAAAAAAAGAAAAAGAAAACACATCTAGGGTCAGATGCAGTGGCACACACGTGTGACCCCAGCAACTTGAGAGGGTGAGACAGGAGGATCACTCTGAGTTGGAAGCTGGTCTGGGTTCCATAGTGAGAGTTCAAGGCCAACCTGAACTACATAGTGAGACTCTGTATCAAAACAAAAATAGGGGGAATCCACTTTCCAGTCTCCCTTCTGTCTCTCTTAGGCAGAAGCTTTCTTTCTCCCCCAGAAATTTTTCCTACTTTTTTTTTTTTTTTGGTTCCGGGGATCGAACTCAGGTCCTTGCGCTTGCAAGGCAGGCGACAGAACCACTGAGCTAAATCCCCAGCCCTTTCCTACTCTTAAAAAAAAAAAACCACAAAAAACATCTAGGGGCGAGAAAATTCCAGCGTGTTTAGATTAGCCTGAGTAGCCTAAGAGGTACATGTGAATGCTGGGTATGTAGCTCAGCCCTAGAACACTTGCCTAGCACATGTAAGGCCCCACGTTCAATTTCCAGCACCTCCAAAAAAAAAAAGCGAAAGGTGTATATGTGTAACTGAAGCTCTCTCAAAGACCCCGTTGCTTCTTCCACTCTTTTTTTAAATTTCTTTTTTGAGACAGGGTCTCACTATGTAGTTCAGGCTGGCCTCAAACTCATGGCAATCCTCCTGCCTCAGCCTTCCATAGTGTTAGGATTACAGGCGTGCACCATCACACGCTCTTCCCACTGGCTCTTCCAGACTTTTCCTTTGCTTTTTTTGGTACTGGGGATTGAACTCCGTCCTTGCACTTGCAGGGCAGGCAGCAGAACCACTAAGCTAAATCCCTGGCCCCTTGCTTTGCTTTTTTGTGACAGGGTCTGTCTATGTGGTTCAGGCTGGCCTTGAAACTCCTAGCAATCCCAGGGCTGGGATTACAGGCGTGTGCCACCAAGCCTGGCTCTTTCCAGACTCTTAAATAAAAAGTGCTCTTATTGTTGCTCAGCCGCCTCTACTCTTGCACCATCCAATTCACCTTCCATGTAGGCCTTGACAGTGGATCTTTCTGAAACACAAATCTGACCATGTCCCTCCCTCCTGCACAAACGTTTGATGATTCCCAGTACTTTCAACATAGTCAAAATTCCTATGCATAAATCAGAAGCCCTCCACAATCTGGATTCTCTGGCTTCCTCTGAATAGACCGGCCATGCTAAATAGTCCAGGTCTTGGGACACACTGGCCTTTCCCTCCTAGGAAATCTTCCCAGTCACCTGTGCTACCAAAGCACACACATCTCTCCTGGCCTCCTCAGTACCCTGTGCTTCCTCTGTCATGATACTGTGAACTGCACCCTACTGGTAATTATTTTCACAGCCAACTCTTGTATAGACCGAGTCCTCTGACAGCAGGAACCCTACCTGACTCTTATCTTACTCTTGCACTAGGCCCTGACACAGAAATTGTTCATCAGTGTAGCCAGGTCAGATACTCAAGACCATTCCTTATACCCAGGCCCCACTCCCATAGAAACTGCATTCCTCACCTTTAGCGCAAACACAAGAGCCATGATTCCCAGGCAAGAGCAGCCACAAATAATGCTAGTAGCTGCCAAGCAGCGGAGGAGGGGCCAGCAGCGGCAGATGGGGGGATGGAGGAGCAGCTGCCATGTTGCCCACCACAGTCTCCACTGCCTTCTCCTCATCCTCCATCACCTGTGGGCGATACAGTCAAGGCACTGGTAAGCCCAACAAAGGAACCCTTGACCTGGCTTGCTGACTCCACCCCTCTCAGAGCCTGATGTCCTCATTGCCCAGCTCAGCTCTCAGGAATGCTGCCTTACTTGGGAGTTCCTCCAGTGACTCAGACCAGGAGAGGAAATGTGTGGCTAGAATCCTTATCCCTCAGCTTAAATTTCTGAGTTTTGTTGTAAGCAAATGTGTACCTATTACTGTTTTGAAAAGTGCAACTGAGAAGCAGAAGATACAGAATCTTAAACACTCAAGACCAAGTGATTCCCCAGAGGCTGAGTCAATGAGCAGGACTCTACATCCTGCACCCCACTCCAAGCAAGGAACCACTTCACATGAAAACAACAGTTCTAGAGATGGAGGAGAAAAGGGAAAGTACACATCTAAACCTTTTTTACAGCTGACAAAACCAAGCACTAGAAAGCCCTCGCTTCTCCAAGCTGGGGCCTTTTTTTCTATGATGACTCCTTGCCATCTCCTGTCTACATTTAAACCCAGACCACAAAGAACAGCAACAGAGTCCAAGTGACGCATTACCCTCACACACTTGCATGCTACCCTACTTACTCACTTCTCTTCTACTTCTCAGGCCCTCTAAGCTTCAGTACCAAACCTCCTTTCCACTCTCACATCCAACCATTCCACCACAGCTAGGCAAAATCAAGTCCTGTGGTCCCCTGCAAACAAGACAGGAAGGGTGGGCCGGGGATTTAGCTCAGCGGCACCACACCTGCCTCCCAAGTGCAAAGTCCTGAGTTTGATCCCTGGTACCAATTTTTTAAAAAAGCAAGGGTACAGGAGGCAAAACAAGCAGAGAGCAAAGAATGATGTACACCACAAAGCTGTAGAGAGTCAGGTATGAGGACAGAACTCAGGTAAGAAAAACAGCAGGGAGAGAACCAAAGGAGAGGGCCCAGGAGTTGACAAAAAAATGTAAACATGAATAGGGGCTCTTATCTGGCTACTGGCCTTGAGGAACCCTGAGTTTTGGCTCCGGCCTCAGGTTTGGTTTGGCTCAGGTGGATGGAGCTGCCTCAGGGCTCCAAGGCAAGCCCAGAGGTGGGGCTAACTGGCCAGCCATCCTCGGAAGAGCCCCAGGAGCAGGGAAGGGGGTGTGGCTGACTCAAACCAGTTTGGCTAGGTGGAGAGCGGAGGGCCACAGGAGGAAGCTAGCAGTAGGTAGGGTGCCTTTCTTCTGGAGAAAGGAAAGAAAGCACTTCAACAAGAGGGTTGGTTGGAAGAAAGAAAAAGGCTAAGGCACTGGAAAGCTGAGGGAGATCAGGAACCAAAGCGATAGACTCGGGAAGAGGGTGTATCTGAATGAATTACAGCTAAGACTTCTGGGAAACACACCCTGCCAGCAGATCAAATCTGCCAGTCACTCCTTTTCTTGAGGGTGGAAGTTTCTACCTCAAAAGCATACAATCGGGTTAGAGATCAGGTCCACGATCTTTCCAAGAGGAAAGGGAAATGAATGATGCCCAAGTCGCCCCCCCCAACCCTCCACACCAGAAAATCAGAAGCTTCCTTACGCGGATGCTTGTACAGAAACTAAGTTTATTATTTTTCCTTCTTAAAAAAAAAAAAAAAAAAAAAAAAAAAAAGAAAAAAACCCTCATTGTAGAGAACCCCCTCCCCTTTCCCCTAAGGGGGTGGGGCTATGAAAGAGAGCTGGGGAATCAAGTACAAGGGGGTGGGACAAAGACTATCTTGCCACCCTTAACACTGCCCAGCCATGTAGGTGGAAGGGAAGCAGGATTGTGTTAAGCCCCATTTCCACAATAAGCAGTCGCCTATCCCCTACTTTGGTGGAAAGAAGGGAGAAGGGCCTTGTCTCCCTGGAGGCTTTCCCTCTCAAGACTTCAAGTAGTGGTTAACAGAGTCAGGCCTGGTCATGGAGGAGGGAGAGTGGCCACGGTGGAAAGCCTAGGTGGAAGGGCAGCCCACTCACGTCTTGGCCTTCCGGCCTCTGTGACTAATGGTAGGGCCAGACACGTGGGGAGGGGCACTGCTGCGCAGGATTCGCTGGTCCCCTTGGCTGGTGGTCCCAATGAGCCTGCGGGGGCCAGGCCGGCGTCGTAGGGTTCCTTCCCCTTCCTCTTCCTCACCTGAGGCTTCGGCCTCAGACTCTTCTACTGAACCCTCAGGCCCCAGGGGACTTGGGGGTTGTGGGCGGCCCCGCTTTGCCAACCCAGGACCCCCACCAACTGGGGCCCCTGCCCGCTTGCGAGGCACCTTTTCAGTCTCTAGTGGGGGCACTAAAGACCCTGGGCGTAGCCGGGTCGAGCGCAGTTTGGGGGCTAACGAGACCACAGGAGGTGTCAATTCTAACCCGCCTGGCCCACTATCTGCTAAATCCAGATCATCCTGAATCACAGCCACCACCATGGACCCTTCACTCTTTCGTCCCCGCATCCCCTCTGCTTCAAGTCGCAGGCGAGCCAGGCGGGTCAGGGGGCGGCTTCCATCCTCATCAGAGGAGCTGCTCTCACTTTCCCCCTGGCCCTGGGTTTGCCGCCGCCTTCCCAGTCCACAGCTCTCAAGAACAGGAGAGCTGTCACGGTCCAATACAGGGAGCTGGCTGGCTCGAGGTGAGGGTGGATTCTTGGGAGGTCGGCCCCGCTTTCGCTTGGGTGGGGACATGGAAATAGTGACTGTGGTGACAGTGTTGGCGACAGGAGCAGGAGGACAGGTTAGCAGGGGCAGGGGTGGTGGCAGTGGTGGGGGCTGCTGTGTCCGGCTGTCTAGGCTGCCGTCCCCTGGAGATGAAGTGGTCCCAGGGACAGGCAAATCTCGTGCCTTGGGGGGCCGCCCCCGCCTTCTTTTCTCCACAGGTGACAGGACGGTCTCTGGTCTCTGAACTGGAAGGGGTCCAGGAGGCCGCAGGACAGGCTCTGCAACAATTAGGGTCTCAACTCCGGGGACTGAGTCAGTCCCATTGGTTTTTCCTTTAGAGGTGGATGAAGGTGCCTCATCTGCCCCTCTCCCAGCATCTGCTGGAGACCTGTTCTTGGGGGGCCTCCCCCTCCGACGTTTCACAGCAGGTGGAGAGATGGCAAGCACTGCTCCTTCTCCGTTCTCTGGGCTGCCCCTGCCAGCCACCCCTAGCTCAATGTGACGCCGAGCTACGAAGGGCTGCTGAGTTAGGGTGGGCAGTGAGGAGAGAGCAGCTTCACCGGGCCCACTGGGGGGAGGGGAGGATTCTGGCCCAGATGTGCTGCGGGTGGGTGGGCTTCCTGGGCTGGCACCAGTCTCAGGGACCCCAGGCACTGCGGTGCTGGCAGGCCCTCGCTGCTGACGTCGGCGCCTCACAAGCTCCTTTTCCTCCACCACAGTTACTAGCCGTCCTGGCAGCTTTCGAAGCACTTTGGGGCCCGGAGGTTGCCCTGGTCGACCAGCCCCCTGACCCCGAATTTCTACATCAGCACTGGTGCGACGCCGAGGGGGCCGAGCAAGTGAAGGACCCTCAGGAGAGGAGGTGGCTGAAGATGAGGTTGATGGGGCTGTAACTGTAGATGTAGCAAGTTCTTGTGGCTTCTCTGGGCTGGAAGTTGGGGTCTGAACCTCTACCAACTCTTCCACATTCCTATTAGCCTCCTGGAGTGGCTCATCAGATGGTAGTGAAGGTGGGAGCTCCAGCCCATTGCTCTCACTCAAACCCGTGGGCAACTCCTCACAACCCAGCATTGTGAGGATGGTCCCTTCAGCAAGATCTTGTACTTCCTGCTCCTGACCATTGGGGATGCTGCCAGCCTCTGGGGTTGGGCTGGGTGCAGAAGGGATGAGAGGAAGGTTCTCTGACACAGGCAGGATCTCAACAGCAACTGGTAACAGATCCTTAGGAGGCATAAGAGTAAGTGGGGAAGTCTCAGAACTGGTCATACCAGCCATCTCCAGGGGCTCTGCAGATGCCAACACTTGTGCACAAAGTTCTGCTTCAGGCCCCAAGCCCAATGAGAGGTTATTAACTGGGGAAGAGATGGGCACAGAAGGTGAATCAAGCAGAAGAGAAGGAGGAGTTAAGAGAGAGGTCTGGTCTGATGGTGGGGTATGAGGTGCTGGAGGAGGGGTACAGGCAGAAGAACATGAAGGAGGAATATGCGGAGGTGGGGGAGAAGGGAAGATATGGACAGGAAGAATAGTTACTGGGTTTGGGGCTGAAATGGGTATCGAGACAGGGATTGGGACAGGAACTTCGGGAGGAACAGGGGCAGGAATTACAGCAGGAGCTGAAGCCTGAGTAGCCCGAGGCCTAGGTGCTGGTCTGGGAACCCGTTCCCTGGCAGGACTACAGCGGGGGGGAGTGGAAGTGCTGCGGGCATGATGGGTAGAAGTGGCAGGAGTATGATTTGTCCCTTGAGTCTCGGCCCGGGCTCCACGAAGACGCTCACTGACACGAGTCCCCAGCCTCTCTGGGCCCTTGACCTTCTTATTGCGTCGGTGGCTGCCTCCACTAGTCCCACAGGAAATCTCATCCCCAGCCCCCGGCCCCTCCTCCTCTTCTTGGGGTAGGCGGAACACCTCCTCTTTGGCTTGGTCCAGGTCTTTTCGGGCAGCCTCCACTTGTTCCTACCAACAGAGCCCGCAGGGTGGTCAGTAGAAGTAGAACAAAGATTAAGAACAGCAGCTTTCAGCTGCAAACCCCAGGCCCTAGAACTACTCACTTCTGCCTGTTTGAGCTCCTCTCGGCTCACTTCTTCCAAAGAGGCTTCCAGGAATTTCATGGCGTATCGCTCAATGGGGGTGAGCTAGAGTGAAGCAGACACTATGAACATAGTGATCTGGTGCCCAGGACCCCCAAAAAGAGCCTTCAATCCAAGGGAAAATGTTATGAAGGCAAGAACTAGTGGTTCCAGCACTGACCTGTTCTACAAGGGCAGCAATCTCCTGCTCAGCCCGGGACATCTCCTCATCATCAGCTCCTACTCGACTGGCCTCCTCTCCCTCGCCCACAGCAAATCCATCATTCTCATTAAATTCTGCAAGTTCAGCCACTTGTTCAGCCTTGGCCTGGGTGGCTGCACGGATATCTTCTTCATCCTCTGCCCGACACAATGCCTAGAGTGTACAGAAAAGAAAAAAATGACTTAAGGATTATTACATCCTGTGATTTGATTCTGGCAAAAATATGAGGCCAAATTTACATAGAACTAGATTTGTAACAGCAACAGCCTTCAAGGGTCCCACAGTGACCAAAACAATTCAGTGGTCCAGATAGGGTGAAATGGATTTCTCTCCTACTCCTGCTAGGGACAAAAGGCTACTTTAGAAACGGTTGGCTCTAGTTCTTTCCATTATAGTTAGCCTGAGTTTCTTTTTTTGGTACCGAAGATCGAACTCGGGTCTTTGCGCTTGCACAGCAGGTGGCAAAACCACTGAGCTAAATCCCCAGCCCAACTCCTTTTTTAAAGACAGGGCCTCACTAAATTGCCTAGGCTGAGTTCAAACTTGCAATCCTTCTGCCTCACCATTCCCGTGTTGGGATTACAGACATACACCACCACACCTGGCTTGTAGTTAATTTTTGCACTGAGATGGCTGAAGAAAACATACTAATCATGTCTGATCTCTTCTTGAAATGAGTATCAAAGGAATTCACACTGAAGCCACTGAGAGAAGTGGCTTAGAGCATGTCCAGCAACAAGATGACACTCCATAGGGAAAAACACTTCCATGATGCTCTATCCTATAGTTCTTAAACATCTGTCTACACCTGGAGAATTTTGAAAAAACATACACAGATCCAATACTCAAAAAGAAATGATTCAGTCAAATTTGTGATGGAGTCGGGAAACCAATCCTTTGAACAACTTTTCCAAGTGACTATTATACTTCAATTTGGAAAATAGGGTTTTGTATCATATACGAGGCACTTTTTTTTTGGTGGTGCTGAGACTTGAACCCAGGGTCTTCACATTGGCCAACATCCTCAGCACATTTTTTAAATTTTCAGACAGGGTATTGCTAAGTCTGTAAGTAGTCCAGGATGGGCTTCAACCTGTGATCCTCCCAACTCAGCCTCCCAGAGTGCTAAGATTACAGGCCTTGACCACCAGGCCAGCTAGCAGGCACCACTTTTTTTTTTTTTGCTTTTTGAGACAGGGTCTCACTATGTAGTTCAGACTGTTCTTGAAGCCTTATAGCCCAGGGCGGCCTCAAACTTGTGGCAATCCTCCTGCCTCAGCCTCCTGAGTGCTGGAATTACAGGTGTGTACCACCATGCCTTGCTACCAGGCATTTTTTTTGGTACAGGAATTGAACTCAGGACCTTGTGCTTGCCAGGCAGACACAGCGCCACTGAGCTACATCCCCAGCACAATCAGCACTTTTTACATGCATCAGATCACTTAATTCTAAGAGTTGCTATTTCCTCATTAGCATTTTGGAGATATGGAATGTAAGACTAAGAAGAGGAACACATTTGTAATTTGGCTTAACAAAAACAATTATTAAGAAGCACTACTGTTGAGGCTGGAGGACTGCTTGAACCCAGGAGTTCAAAACCAGCCTGATAACACAGTACAAACCCTACTTTTATTTATTTAAAAAAATTTTATTATTATTATTTTTTTGGTACCAGGGATTGAACTCGGGTCCTTGTGCTTTTGAGGCAGATGGCAGAACCACTGAGATAAATCCCCGGCCCACAAACCCTACTTTCAAAAAAAGCAGCTGTGGGCCGGGGATTTAGCTCAGTGGTTTTGCCACCTGGTGTGCAAGCACAAGGACCCAAGTTTGATCCCCAGTACCAAAAAAACCACAAAAAACGAAAAAGCAGCTGAATTTAAACCTTGCACTCAGAGCTCCAAATCCTGTGAATCAATAAGCAACATACTTGAAACTATCAAAGGCTGACTATAGTCTGGAAAGTAGTTCTTTCCTATGAACAAATGCAGCCAAGTGACAGCTCGCACTTTATTTTTTCCAGTACTGGGGATCAAACTCAGGACCTTGCACTTGCAAGGCAGGCGCAGCACCACTGAGCTAAATCCCGACCCAAGACAGCATGTACTGTAAGCAGTAGCCCTATTTTAGGACTGCTCATTCTTTTTCACCTGTTCCAGAATATGGGTCTGCTTGTTGGCCACAGCCTCCTCTTCTTCCTCAGGGGCAGAGGGTGCAGATGAACCAGACGGCTCCTCCAGAGGCATATCGAACAGTTCTCGAATGGTCTGCTATTGGATACAACAGAAGGAAGGTATCAGCCAGTGAAATGCTAGTGCCAGGGCTACAGGTGAATAGTTTCTAAGAGTTTCAGAGGTGCCACTGGTGCAGAGGTCAGGTCTGTGAAGATGAAGGCAACAACTCTTTAATAAGCAACAGAAACTCCTATAAGCACAGGAGTTCTCTTCTGCCCCAGCAAAGAGATCTTATTTTATACCTGTTTGAAATAGGCTGTGGTGAAGTTGCCTCCCTCAATGGCCATGTCTCCCAACATTCTCTTCTGATTTGCCTTTTTTAGGATGTTCTCCTCCACAGTCCGTTCACTGATAAGCCTAGGAAACAGAAGCCAAGTGGAAACACTGAAATATACTAAGGAACTCCTATCATTAAAGAGAATGTAGCTGGGCATGGTGGCACATGCTTATAAGGCCAGGACTCAAGAGGCTGAGGCAGGAGGATCACTGTGAGTTGAGGCCAGCCTGGGCTACATAGTGAATTCAAGGCCAGCCTGCATAGCGACACCCTGTCTCAAAAACAGAAAGGAAGGAAGGAAAGAAGGAGAGGGAGGGAAGGGAGGGAGAGAGGGAGAAAAAGAGAAGAAGGTGGATGTAAGGTGAAGGGAGACTGGACAATACCTATAGATGTGGACATCTCGAGTCTGGCCAATTCGGTGACAGCGATCCTGGGCCTGAGCATCCATGGTAGGATTCCAGTCACTGTCATAAAAAACAACTGTGTCTGCTCCTGTCAGGTTCACGCCCACACCCCCACTTCGAGTTGAAAGGATGAAGCAGAATATGCGTTTGTCTGCATTGAATCGTTCCATCAAGGCCTAGAAGGAAAGGAAAAAAAAGATCGTATTGGGAGACTTATCCCTAAAAATGGTCCAAGGCTTAACAGGGCCCAATCTGGTAGTTCAAGGCTTGAGGAAAAGAGACAAAAGGTGAGGTGAGCCTCTAAAGGGCTGTGGATGCCGAGTTACCTGTCTCTGTTCAACTCTGGTAGATCCATCCAGACGCAAGTAGAGGTGGCCATGGTAGGTAAGAAACTGCTCCAGCACATCCAGCATTCGCGTCATCTGGGTGAAGATGAGCACTCGGTGGCCCCCTGCCTTGAGCTGCCGTAACAGCACTGCCAAAGTCTGCAACTTTCCTGAAGAGATATTAGGGTAGAGGGAGCTAGCCACAACCTGGAACATGAAGAACACTTAGCACTGGGAGGCTGTAGTCGAAAGGTAATCAGGCTTTCGGCCTAGGGAATCAAAAAGAATCAACTCCAAATGCTTTCATCCCTTAAAGGTTCCCTGTTCAGAGTGTTCCTGCCTGGGGTCTGACTTGTTCATGTCTAATTAGGGTACAGAAAGATGCTGACAGACCATGGGTGTGTGTGTGTGTGTGTGTGTGTAATCCTCAATGATCTAAGAGCATGAGATTCATGAGTGCTATAATACTCATACCAGCTAGAACCAGAACAGAGTCCCAGGACAGACATCAACAAATCTATGGTCATGGCTTTCTTAGGGGGTTATCTAGTTCACCTCTCATCAAACACAAAAATAACTCCTATAGCACTTCTGATAAGTAAGTCTGAACACTTTTATTTTCTTTTTTGAGATGAGATCTCAGCAAGTTGCCCAGGCTGGTCTTGAACTCCTGGGTTCAAGTAATTCTCCCGCTTTAGCTTCCCAAGTAGCTGTGATTACAGGTGGACATGCTTGGCCTTCGTTTTTTACATGCTGGGGACTGGACCTAGGTCTCCTTGCAAATGCTAAGCAAGCGCACCACTTAGGTATGACCTCCAGCCCAATTTGAACACTTTTAACAAAGACTTTGAATTCCTCTATTCTGAACAGTTTTAAATATAAAAAACAACTGTTACTAAAATAGTTATTAAGGGCATATAAATTAAAATTCTGGTTTTCTTACACTCTAGGACAGTGGTGGCGAACCTATAGCATGTGTGCTGCAATGGGCTGTTTTTATCATTGAAAGATCTAAAAGGTTTGCCATCGCTGCTCTAGGACTTTTAGAAAACCCCCCAAATAAGTTATTATAGAAATATCTGCAGGAATACCTGTACCGGCTTCTTGGGAGGATCCCAATTTCAAGGCCAGCCTGGGCAACATAGTGAGACCCTGGTCTCAAAATAATGTGAGCTCAGTGGCACTGGGCCTGCTTCACAAGTGCAAGGTCCTGAGTTCAATCCCCAGCACTGGAAAAAATGAAAAATAATAAAATAAAAAATAAAGTGAGCCAAAGCTGGGTGTGGTAGTGCATGCCTGTGATCCCAGCAGTAAAGAAAGAGAATCATTGTGAGTCTGAGACCAGCCTGGGCTACACAGTGAGTTCAAAGGAAGATCTCATCTCAAAAAATTAAAAAAATAAAGTGAGCCAGGTGTGGGAGCACACAGTCTGTCATCCCAGCACTCAGTAGGCCAAAGGAGGAGGACTGCAGTAAGTTCAAGGCCATCCTGGGCTCCACAGTGAGTTCAAGGCCAGCACAAGGATGACAAGTTTAAGCCCCACCTGGGAAACCTAGTGAGACCCTGCCTCAAAAAAGAGGGGGCTGGAGGCTGGGGGTAGGCAAGGGATATTGCGCAGTGGTGGAATACCCCCAGGTTCAAATCCCCAGTACAGAAAAAAATAAGTGATGTCCAACAGCCATTTTCGGTGAACAGACCGCAACCAACACTGGGGACACCTGGGAAGACCCTGCCTCCCAGCAGAGGCAGGCCCAAAGCCCATGCTAGCGACTGCCCTGAGGATGGGCCTGCAGCTCAGCTTGACCAACGGGTTTTGAAGCATGATCACCTGAGAAGACTTTGGGGAGGCCTCACTAGGAGTGTTTGTAGCTATTTTTCTGAGACAGGCTCTTGCTATACAGTTCAGGCTGGCCTTGGGCTCAATGTGCTGCCCAGCCATGTCGGGCCTCCAACTTATGGCGACCCTCCTGCCTCAGCCTCCCGAGTGCGGGGCCGAAGTGCACTGCTGTGCCCAGCTTTACCTCAACACCTGAATCCCTGCCTGGGTGACTGGCACCCTCTACGGAAGCTGCTTTAACGCCAGCAAGAAGTGAGGGGAGATCAAAAAGCTGAAAGCCACAGGTGACAGGCAAAGTGGAAAGACCAGAAGGTCCTGGGTCCACAAAGACACTCAACTACTGAGCCGCCACACACTATTCTCAGAATTTCTCATTTAGTGAACAACAGATACTTGGGGTGGTTTAAGCCATTATCAGCTAAACACTCTATCCAATACAAAGGTCCTTTCCATTCTTCAAACCAAAATTTATTATTGTCTTATAGCACCTCACACCATCACCCACAAGTTTAAAACCTCTAAGCTCTGCTGATTCACTATTGTATCATAAATAATTAGCAAAATATGACAGATGCTCACAAACCAATCACTGAATTAATTATTATATACTTTCAACTTTCATGAGAGTCAAATTCATGAATGCCAAGGATCCCTTTCATAGCTAGGCACAGTGGCACATGCCTGTAATACCAGCACTGAGAGGTTACGGGAGAACAACTGCAAGCCTGAGCTCAGCCTAGGTAACTAAGTTGAGACCCTGTTCTCAAAAAAAAAAGAGCTAGTAATGTAGCTCAGTTAAAGGTCCTGGATTCAATCCCTAGTAACAAAAAGAAATTTATGAAAAAAGAAAATGAATTCATCAAAGGCCTGCATGACTCATTTTGCCCATAAGCACAAGCTAAAAAAGCCAATGATTTATAGAAATCCCTAGAGATGTGATGTGCAGCATCTCTGATGTCTCTGTGTGTACATGTGCCCACGTGTTCTCCTGTGCATGTGTTATTGGGGACGCATTCCCAGGGCCTTTGCTGAGCTACATCCTCAGGCCTTTTCTATTTTTAATTTTGAGGCAGGATCTCACTAAGTCACTGAGTTGCCCAGGCTGGGCTGGAACTTGTAATGTTCCTGCAGCAGACTCTGAGTCTCGGGATTACATGCATGTGACACCACACCTGGCTGATACAAAAGTCTCGCCACTATGAAATGAAAAGAGAGCGGGCCGGGGATTTAGCTCAGTGGTTCCACCGCCTGCTGTGCAAGCGCAAGGACCTGAGTTCAATCCTTGGTACCAAAAAAAAAAAAAAAAAAAATGAAAAGAGATCAAGGGTTCTTTACTGCCTAATGAACTCACCGCAATCATACTGGATGAGTCTCAGGTCGGGGAACTGGGTACGCATGTTACACACAATACGATGCAAAGGGCGAGCCCGGGGCCAGAGCTCACAGGCCAGCTGCTCCTGGAAGGCTGCCTGCCGTGGGGCCAGCCAAGGAGGTGGGTGACAGGCATGCAGGGATGGGGGAGGTGCCTCCACAGGAGGCATGACAAAGATGAACCTGTGGAAGGAAAAAGGCAAGCACTATAAAGGATGGAATGCTAAAACACCCAGAAGTTAGCATCTTCACCAGCCCTAAGAACTACATCTACTCGGAGGCCCCAAGACCCACTCCCCATTAGCACTTAGCCTGCCAACCTCTCAACGATTTCTGACAGCTGGTCTAGTCGCTGCTGGGGTAACAGTACAGCCTGTTGGGCAGCCTCAGTATAAGTCCAAAAGGTGGGGTGGCTGGGGCCAGGAGAATGAGGGCCGATGGGGCTGGCAACAGGTCGGGGCAGGGTACAGAAATCCAGGACTTCAGTCCCATACATGGGTGCCAGGGCCCCATGAGCCTCACTAAGTTGGAAAATCCTTTCCAGGCGTTCAGATCGCTGCCGCTTCCTCTTTTCCTCCAGAGAGTCCTAGGAATGAGAGAGCATCACACAGAAAATAATCACTGTCAAGAGTTCACATCAAAACATTCACTACAGAAAACCAGACAAGTCTTCTCAGATGGAGCTGGGTGTGGTGGCGCACACCTGTGATCTCATCACTTGGGAGGCTGAGGCAGGAGAGTTGCCATGAGTTCAATGCCAGGCTGAACTACATAGTGAAACAAAACACCAAAAAAAGAGCTGGGGGGGGGG